ATTATTGATTGACTTTGGTGAGATTTATTAGGATGGCGCCCAATTGTTTTTGTGTTATTTAGTAGACCTACTCGAAGAGCCTTAAGTCTTTATAAGTTAAGGAATTATTTATGGCTTTTCATTTCACAGAAACGTTTAAGGACTTCTGGAACCTGAAGATCAGTTTTAGATAAAGAAAATAAAGTCCGAAGAAATTTTCATATCAATTTTTGGCTTATTTGCATTTAAAGTTATACAATCAGAAATTGTATTCTAAAATATACAATTTTTGAAAATAAAAAACGATTAAGAGAACGCTAAAATATTGGCGCCCAATTGTTTTGTGATAGTTGGAAAAAATATATTGGACCTTTGCAGGCCAGAATCAGAATCAGTGTAATGAAATCTAAAAGGATGGCGCCCAAATGTTTTTATTTCGAGGAATTAGTTGAAGAGTTGCTTGCGAAGTTTCGGAAATTCAATCAAATATTTTTTTCATCATATTTTGGCGGAGGAAATAATATTATTGACAAGAGCTAAGAAGTTTTCCGGATTTTCACTCTCTTTGGAATTTTATGGAAGATCGCTGAGCCCTATTATGGCGTATTTGCATTTAAAGTTATTAATCTGAGACCGTTTTAAAATCAAGAATTGAATCGAGTCTCTTCAAAGAAATCTTATTGTCAAGACTTAAAAAATCGATAGGATGCCTTACAGAATTTTAAATGCGTTTGGAATTTGTCAATTTGTCAGTTTGTTTTTGAACCATATTTTGGCGTATTTGCATTTAAAGTTAATAATCCCAAACTTTTTTTTAATATAAAATTGGATTGAATAAAAAAATAATCTTTGCTAGACCAGAATTTGGACTCTGTATGGAATTTTTCGAAGTTCTTGAAACCTATTTTGGCGTATTTGCATTTAAAGTTATTAATGTAGAACTTTATAGAATAAAATTTTCAAATATTGGCTTATTTGGAAGATTATTAGAACCCACAAGAAGTTCTCCAACATTTGGACTATGTTTGGAATTTTCTTGAAATTTTTTCGAACCCTTTTTTGACGTATTTGCATTTAATGTTATTAATTCTAAACATTTTCGAACCTAACTGTGATCGATCGAGTAGATATTCAAATCACTATTGGCAATACTTTTAAAAACCATAAGACGTTTTTCAACCCTATTTTGGCGTATTTGCATTAATGTAAAACTTTATAGAGTAACATTTTCAAATATTGGCGTATTGGGAAGACTATTAGAACCCATAAGAAGTTCTCCAGCATTTTGACTAGGTTTGGAACTTTCTTCAAAGACTTCTGAGTCCTAATTGAATATAAAATTGGATCGAGTACAATTTTCCGAACGCTTCGGGCAAGACTTTTAAAATACATAAAAAGTTCTCCAGCATTTTGACTATGGTTGAAATTTTCTTACAAAGTTTTTGAACCCTATTTTGACATATTTGCATTTAAAGTTATCAATTCTAAACATCTTGGAACCTAAAATTGGATCGAATAAATATTCAAAACCATAAGAAGTTTTTGAAACCTATTTTGGCGTATTTGTACTTAAAGTTATTCATCTAAGGCCTTATGGAATACAAAATTGTATCAAGTTAAATTTTCAAATCACTTCTGGCAAGACTTCTGAGACCCATAAGAAGTTCTGCAGCATATCGGCAACTTCTGGAGTTTTCTCCCAAGATTTTTGAAACCTATTTTGGGCGTATTTGTATTTAAAGTTATTAATCTAAGGCCCTTTTGGAATCCAAAGTCGGATCAAGTACCAAGAGAAAAGTATTAATCACAAGTCATTAGAACATCAACAACATTTGGACTTTATTTGGAATTTTTCAATGATTTTTGTATCAGATTTTGGCGTATTTGCATTTAAAGTTATTAATCCTAAACCTTTGGAACCTAACATTTCATCAAATAAATCTTCAAGTCCCTGTTTTAAAACCTATAGAAAGTCCTCTCAAATTTTGACTATGTTTGGCATTTCCTTCCAATAGTTTTACACCCTATTTTGACAAAGATTTTAGAAGCCTATTTTGACGTATTTGCATTTAAAGTTATACATTTAAGTCCTCATGGAATACCAATATGGATCGAGTTAAATTTTCAAGTCACTATTGGCAAGACTTCTAAGATCCATAAGAAGTTCGGCAACATATTGACAACATTTGGAGTTTTCTCCCAAGATTTTTGAAACATATTTTGGCGTATTTGTATTTGAAGGTATTAATCCTAAACCTTTGGAACCTAACATTTGATCGAAACTTTATAGAGTAACATTTTCAAATATTGGCGTATTGGGAAGACTATTAGAACCCATAAGAAGTTCTCCAGCATTTTGACTAGGTTTGGAACTTTCTTCAAAGACTTCTGAGTCCTAATTGAATATAAAATTGGATCGAGTACAATTTTCCGAACGCTTCGGGCAAGACTTTTAAAATACATAAAAAGTTCTCCAGCATTTTGACTATGGTTGAAATTTTCTTACAAAGTTTTTGAACCCTATTTTGACGTATTTGCATTTAAAGTTATCAATTCTAAACATCTTGGAACCTAAAATTGGATCGAATAAATATTCAAAACCATAAGAAGTTTTTGAAACCTATTTTGGCGTATTTGTACTTAAAGTTATTCATCTAAGGCCTTATGGAATACAAAATTGTATCAAGTTAAATTTTCAAATCACTTCTGGCAAGACTTCTGAGACCCATAAGAAGTTCTGCAGCATATCGGCAACTTCTGGAGTTTTCTCCCAAGATTTTTGAAACCTATTTTGGGCGTATTTGTATTTAAAGTTATTAATCTAAGGCCCTTTTGGAATCCAAAGTCGGATCAAGTACCAAGAGAAAAGTATTAATCACAAGTCATTAGAACATCAACAACATTTGGACTTTATTTGGAATTTTTCAATGATTTTTGTATCAGATTTTGGCGTATTTGCATTTAAAGTTATTAATCCTAAACCTTTGGAACCTAACATTTCATCAAATAAATCTTCAAGTCCCTGTTTTAAAACCTATAGAAAGTCCTCTCAAATTTTGACTATGTTTGGCATTTCCTTCCAATAGTTTTACACCCTATTTTGACAAAGATTTTAGAAGCCTATTTTGACGTATTTGCATTTAAAGTTATACATTTAAGTCCTCATGGAATACCAATATGGATCGAGTTAAATTTTCAAGTCACTATTGGCAAGACTTCTAAGATCCATAAGAAGTTCGGCAACATATTGACAACATTTGGAGTTTTCTCCCAAGATTTTTGAAACATATTTTGGCGTATTTGTATTTGAAGGTATTAATCCTAAACCTTTGGAACCTAACATTTGATCGAATAAATCTTCAAGTCGGTATTTTAAAACCCTTAAAACGTCCTCTTACATTTTGGCTATGTTTGGCATTTTCTTGGATGATTTTTGGACTCTATTTTGGCGTATTTGCATTTAATCTAAGACTTTTTTTGAAACAAAAAATTGCCTTCAGTCTATGTGAATAAATTTTATTGTCAGGGCAAGAAGTTCTACATAATTTTGACGTATTTGCATTTAAAGTTACCTTTTAGAATATAAAACTGGATTGAGTCTCAAGAAAAAAATATTTTTGCCCAGGCTTAAAACTAACCGAAGAAGTCCCTGGGCATTTTGACCCTCTTAGGATTTTTTTCAAAAACTTTTTTTCAAAAAAACTCATTATCACAAATTCAGGTAGCCTTTGGTAAAAAGGGCTTGTTCGTCATCAGGCCTACTGCATACACTTCTTATTTTTTATTTTCTTAATTTTTCTTCCTCATCTATTTACTCTTTAAATCCATTTGTTTGTATCCAAATACTAGACGAAGAAAATTTTTATTTTCTTCTTCTTATATTTACCAACATGTATGTATGTGTATTTAAGGTATGTAGTATGTGTGTTAACTCATTGTTGGCATTGTCTTGCTTTTGTTAAAATGCCGCCGACGACACGACACGACGACTTTCGACGCCTTGCCACCAGAGTTTTTCCCACTTATTTTCAATATTTATTTATTTTTTTATTTATTTATTTACTTACTTTTTGTAAGAAAAGGTGTAAAGGTAAGTGTGAGTGTCTCGTTTTTTCTTTGGGATGAACGAACATGCACCTTAAGTGTTGTGTTGTGTGTTATATTGGCAAACACAATCATGAAACCCTTTTTTTCTTCGTGTGTGTATTTAACACAGGATCTTCTTTAGCGGGTGTTAATCACACCTTGTAAATTTACAACAAGAAATGACTTAAGGAGGAGTTATTTTTCTTCGTTGTAGGTAAACAGAGATTTGAAAAAATCTCTTTTAGAATTAACGACCAAGACACTTAAGAGTTGAACACTCAGAGAGTTATTATTAATTGTACATTAAATCTCTCTCTCTCAAGTGTGGCCATAACACTTGTCTAGTTGGTGATCAAAGAAAGCCGTTATTATTTCAGGTTGTTTTCTTTTGTTCTTCCAGAGAAATATCACTGAGGCCTTCTCTCTCATTCTCTGCCTTTCTCTTTCCTTTTGTTTCAATTACCGTTTGCCCAATAGAGGTGTTAACGGGGTGTAATATAACAATTAAGTTGCCTTAATTAGTCATACGATTACCGTAAGCTCTCAGTTTATCTCTCTCTCTTTCTCTCTCCCTCTTTCAATGTCTTTCTATAGGCATTAGCCTTATGAGATCACCCTCAATAAGGTGTTAAACTTTTGTAATGTAATAATTAAAGAACTTTCTCTCTCTCTCTTGCTCTTCAGGTGATTACTTTTTATAGCACTGCTAATGAGGGGTTTATATTGGTATTTTATGGGCCGTTTTTTTCTCTTTACATTGGGTGTGTTCACATGTGCGTTTTATTATTATTTTCTTCTTACATGCCTTGCATGGTATGTGTAAATCAAATACATATATATAGATACTTACGTGCTAATGATATATCTGTTGCTGTCACTTTGCCGGCGGCATTTATATGTAATGCCCTCTCGTGATTTTTTAACATTATCACATAATCGTTTGTTTTCTTTGAACATGCTGTTGTTGCAAAGGCAAACACTACCTATAATGAGAAAAAAAGAGAGACAAAAGAACCCAAGAAAAATGGGTGGATGAGAATAACGAAAAATACAAAGAAAGAAAATCAATAACAACAAATTTACAATAAAAATACAACTACAACAATAAATTTTAAATAAATAACAACATGAAAATTAATTGTAATTCTAATTGCTCATGAGATCAAGTCGGGGTAGAGTAGAAAAAACGCCCAAAAATTTTTTTTCTAGTATTAAATTTCCCAAAACAACAAAGAAAAAAAAATTGTTGTTAATTTTTGCTGACCAATATGTCTGCATTTTATTATACCGCGTGGTGTTAAATTGCCCATAGGACAGAAAAAAACCAAACAAACTGAAAACAAATCTGCTGATATCAACTTTTTATCACGTTTTTCGTACATGAATGGGGAAAACAGTAACAACCGTAATTTTATCTTCACCAAAAACCCCCTTTAAGGAAGGGGGAAAAGGGGAAGAAGGAAGGAATTTACACTAGAGGACCATATATAAAAAAAAATAATTTGCTAGAGAAAATCTACTGACCAATAAGTTAGCCATAAAAAATATTGTTTAAGGAAATTTTCTTTCAGGTATCAGAAGTCGAGAGCCCACCGGAAAAAAATCAGATGAATAATATTTTGACATATTTGCATTTAAAGTTATTGAAACGAGATTGAAAAAATGTTTAAATCTGGTTATATTAGCAATCAAAGTTGTAAAGGAGCTCCCATAAAATTTGGAAGAAAAAAGAGGCTGAGCTCAAGGACCCTTTCAATACCAAAAATACTCCTCGTAGAAATAATCAGATTAGAAAAAAAATACTGTTGCCATATTAAATATTGACATTTTTGCATTTAAAGTTATAAAGTAAAGGAATTGAATTACAGGCTAATCGATTAAAAACTGAGCTCAAACTCGGGAGCTATCCTAAAAAGTCAGCCAATATTAATAACTTTCGGTAGGAAGAGTTTCTATCCAATGAGAAGCCAAAATACCTAATTACAGGCACTTCGGCTGGAAAACCTGCCCAAGATCGGCAAAATTCCGATATTCGTTAGGTACCGTTACATAGGAGCTGCCCTAAAAAATCGGTCAATATTAATAATTTTTGGTATGAAGATTTTCTATGCAATGAGAACCCCAAATACCAAATTAGAGTCCATTCGGTTGAAATTTGAGCCCAAGATCACCAAAATACTGAAATTCGGGAGGTACGGTTAAGTGGGAGCTATCCTAAAAAATCAACCAATATTAATAATTTTTGGTATGAAGATTTGTTACCCAGTGAGAAGTGAAAATACCCAATTATAGTCACTTCGGTTGAAATTTGAGCCCAAGATACCCAAAATTCCGATATTCGGTAGGTACCGTTATATGTGAGCTACCCTACAACTTCGACCAATATTCATTATTTTTGATGGGAAGATATGTTACCCAATGCGAACCTTAAATACAAAATACAAGTCCATTCGGTTGAAAATCGAGCCCAAGATTCCCAAAATATCCAAATTTGAGAGGTACCTTTATATGGGAGCTAGCCTAAAAAATCGACCAATATTAAAAATTTTTGGTAGAAAAGTTTTCTATCCATTGAGATCCCTAAATACCAAATTACAGCCAATTCGGTTGAAAAACGAGCCCAAGATCCCCAAAATTCCGATATTCGGAAGGTACCATTATATGGGAGCCACCCTCAAAAATCGACCAATATTGATAATTTTTGGTAGGACGATTTTCTAGCCAATGCGAACCTAAAATACCATATTACATTAAATTCGATTGAAAAACGAGCCCAAGATCCCCAAAATTCCGATATTCGGGATGTAGCATTATATGGAAGCTACCCTAAAAAATCAACCAATGTTAAAAATTTTTGGTAGGAAGCTATGATATCCTATGAGAACCCAATATATCAAATTAAACTATGGAAAATTGGGGGATCCGATATATGGGGGATACCCTCACAAATTGGCTAATATTAATACTTTTTGGTATGAAGATTTGCTACGCAATGAGAAACCCAAACACCAAATTAGAGTCCATTCGGTAGAAATTTGAGACCAAGCTACCCAAAATTCCGATATTCTGCAGGTACCATTAAATGGGAGCTACTCTAAAAAATGGACCAATATTGATAATCTTTGGTAGGATGATTTCTTACTTAGTTAAAAACCCTAATGCCAAATTACAGCCAATTCGGTTGAAAAACGAACCCAAGATCACAAAAAATCGGAACTTTGGGAGGTACGTTTATATGTGACCTACCCTACAAAATCGGTCAATATTAAAAATTTTTTCTATGAAGATTTGCTACGCATTGGGAATCTTAACTACCAAATTAGAGTCTATTCGGTTGAAAACGTGACTAAAATATCGAATATTGGAAGGTTCTGATATATGGGAGCTACCCTAAAAAATCGGCCAATATTAATCATTTTTGGTATGGAGATTCGCTACTCCATAAGACAGCAGAATAACAAATTATAACCCATTATATTGAAAAACGTGACCAAAATCCCCAAAATGTCGAATATTTGGGGGTACCTTTATATGGGGATTACCCTAAAATGTGGGCCAAAATGTATCATTTTTTGTACAGAGATTCGCTATCCCATAAGACGCATAATACCCAATTACAGACTAATCGGTTGAGTAAACGTGGTGATAGCCACTAAAATATTGAAATTTTAGAGGTTCCGTTCTATCGAGGATATACCAAAACGTGGGCCGATATATACCATTTTCAATTTCAAACATCCTAATGGTGCTAGCAATGTTTGTGCCTAATTTCAAAGCTCTATCTTCAATATTGTGAGCTCTATTGTGATTTCCAAAAAATGGCGCCCAACATGAAGTAATATTAAATAATTATTTTCTTGACAAAATTAAATGGGAGAACATTTTCCCGTTTTTTTGCTATTTAATTTTTGCACAACTGCTGAAATATATATATATATATATATATATGTTTGTATGTGTCTTCGCATATGTACTTAACGTCTGCCCTGATTTGGCCCAAGCCATATTAACGCTATTCTGACCACACACATGTCATTATTATTACCGTTCCGTACGTCTTTTTTTCTTCTACACACTTTTCTCCATTTCTATACCGCAACTGAGGAGAATGTGTTTCATATTTTTTTTTCTCTTCTTCTTCCTATTTTTGCCTGACCACAACCGTATTTGTTGTTGTCTGTGACGCAGAAATAACAACAACAAAAATATTGAAAACAAAATCTTGAGCAATGTCTTGTCAAGATTACATGAACAAGGAGGTGGTTCGTTCAGCTGAGGGGTGGCTGGCTGGTTAATGGTGTTGTAGGTTCGGCTGGGGTGTTTAAAAAATATTATTAGACAAACTGTCTGAGGCAAGGATTAAAATGAGAGAAAAAAAAAAACTTGGGTTTGCATAAAATTAGGTGGCCTGCTTGCTGTGGTGGTTTTTGTGGCGTGGCATTTTTTTTTTTTCTTATTTGTCCCCATGCGGTAATGGGGAGATGGGGGCTTGGCCCATACGGGTTTTGGATTACCTCTCGACGCCGTCGTCATTCAAGCAAACATCAAACAAGTATGAACAGGAAATCTACTGTTGTCGGATGAGTGATGAATCTCAAAATTCATAGCAATCGGAAGAAATGTCATTTGTTGTTGTGGGTGTAGGGAAGGGAAACACTTGAGGGAAAAATGTGATCAAAGGGATTTTTGGTAAAAAAAATTGTTTACTTTTAAAAATATTTTCTTCCACGAAGTCATTGATTGCATTATATTTTTCAAATTCTTTAGTTGCGCATATTTTCGTTTTATTTTCCGTTGGGCGCCATTTTTTTTGAATTCACGATACAGCTCGTAATATTTAACCTAGAGCTTTGAAATTTTCCATAAACATTGCAGGCACCTTTAAGATGTTTGGAATTAAAAATGGTATATATCAGTCCAGGTTTTGGTATAGCCTCCATATAATGGAACATTGCCAATTTTCGGAATTATGGCGATTTTAGTTAAATTTTTCAACCAAATTGGCTGTAATTGGGTATCTTGGTTACTTATTGGCTGGCGAATCCCTCTACCAAAAATTAGCAATTTTGGTCAACATTTTAGGGCAGTTCATATATAACGGTACCTCCGGAATTTCGATATTTTGGGGATCTTGGGCTTGATTTTTTAGCGAATGGGTTCTAATTTGGTATTTGGGGTTCTTCTTGGGTAGGGAATTTTTCTGCCAAAAATTAGTAATTTTGGTTCACATTTAAGGGTAACTCCCATATAACGATACCCTAAAATTTCCGATATTTTGAGGATCTTGAGCTCGATTTTCAAACAAATTAACTGCAATTGGGTATTTTAAGTTTTTATTGGGTAGCAAATCTGTATACCAAAAACGATCAATAAAGGTCCACTCTTTCGGATAGCCCCCACATAACGGTACCTCCCGAATTTCGGTATTTTGGTGTATCTTGGACTTGATTTTCAACCGAATGGGCTATAATTTGATATTTGGGGTTTTTATCGGGTAGCAAATCTTCCCACCAAAAATTATCAATTTTGGTCAACTTTTTAGGGTAGTCCCCATATAACCGAACTCTCCAAATTTCGCGATTTTAAATCAAATTGGCTGTAATTTGGTATTTTGGATTTTCATTTGAATTTTATCGTCTAATTTTTTAATAATTTGTATTTCAAACTTTCCATCCCCGTCCCCTATCCAAGAGCCCATGGCTCTTCTCTGTGTAAATTCCAACTTCCCAACCCTGGCTTGATCATTTGTCATATTATCTTAATTGAATATAACTGCACGTGTTATTTACTAATACTCTTCTCCCTGTTTTTTCTCTCTCTCTCCCACTCTCTTATTAATCTCTTATTATTAATACACAGTACAGAGCATTGCTACTTACCATCATAAAAAAAATAATCCTGGCATAGAGTGTAAACTGTGGTAACCTGGAAACAGACAGATAGAAAAAAACAAAAACAATAAAAATTAAATGAATACAAATTACATATTATTAACAATAAACTGAGTATTTATGGCCAATAATAAATGGCCATAAATGTTTGGGAGAATAAAAAATAATAGCAAACAAAAAGCAAACATATATGAATTGGTAATTCAAATAATAAAGCCAGAGTATCTCACGGATACAAACACAAAATAAACACACCATATTGGTATATATAATTGTGTGTATATATTTTTAATACATATTTTTTTACAATCAACAATTTTGATTTGAATTATTAGAATCATGACAAAAAAATTCAAAAAAAAATATTTGAAATAATTAAAATCTCCATTTTTAGAAAAAAAAACAAATCGTGAGTTTCGAATTCAAAATAAACAAAACTATAAATTTTAATAATATTTTTTTTTTAAATAATAAATTCAAATTCAATAAATAATTATTATTATTTGTTATTAATAGTTATAAATATGGCCATAAAAGTAAAATTAAATGCCTTTCCATGTTAGGCCAAGGGGTGGTCAAGCGGCCAAAATCACTTCAAACAAAACCATTGACCACAATTTTAGTTTTTTTTTTAATAGCCATACGTGATTTGAATAATTTTGCTATTTTCTGTTCTTTGGTATTAATTAAATATCATTTTTCATTCACACATTAATAATATTTATTAAAACTATCAACAACAATTACAGAGCCCCCCTGGCTGTAAATGCAGTTGTGTTAAAAATTCTAGCACATAACTACAAAAATTAATTTGCATAGTGAATGGAAATAAATAGCTCAATGATTTATTACGATAATTATTTTGAAATTTTTTCTATGGAATTTTTTGTTTTTAGTACATCAGCTGTCATCTATCGGAATGATGACATCCGAGAGAGACATTGACATTGTTTTAAAAAAAAAATTATTATTCAAAACTAGTTTTTTAGTTAGAATTCTTTTCAATAAATCATAAAATATAAATGGGATTTTTTTGCGCAAAATTGTGGATGTAGAAAATATTAAAATACTGAAGTAATATTTTCGATAACCAGTATTTTTGGTAAAGAAAAAAAGTAGCAAAATCTCTCGATAACGTAATTTATATAAAGAAAATCAATCGCCAATTACTATTATATAAAGAAAACTAATCGATAATTGATTTTCAATAAAGAGAATTGATCGATAATTAATTTTTTGATATAAAAACTATCGATAACACACTTTCTAACAAGAAATCATAACGATAATTATAGTTGCCCATAAGGACAAGTTATCGATAATAAGATTTTTCTGAAGAAAACATGTCGATAAAAAATATTCGTTAAAACAACTAATCGATAATTCATTTTTTGATATAATAGCTATCGATAACATACTTTCTATCAAGAAATCATACCGATAATTATAGTTGTCCATAGGGATAAGTTATCGATAACAATATTTTTTCTGAAGAAAACATGTCGATAACAAATTTTCGTTAAAGAAATTAATCGATAATTAGTTTTCTATAAAGAAACTTAATTAGTTTCCTATAAAGAAAACAAATCGATTAGTTTACTGTAGAAAAATCTTACCGATTCATACTTGTCTATAAAGACAAATTATCGATAACTAGCTTTCTATACTAGAAACATTCCAATAAAACATTTTCTATAAAAAGAACTTATCGATAGTTGGTTTTCTATAAAGAAAACTAATCTATAACTGCTTCTCTATAAAGAAAATTCATCGATTCATTGATTTCCTGGAGAGAATATCTATCGATAATGCCGTTTCAATAAAAAAAATCGTATCGATAATTAGTTCACCATAAACAAAAAGCATCGATAACACATTTCCTGACTAACGATTTTGCCGTTTCTATCAAGAAATCGTATTGATAATTAGTTTACCATCAAGAAAGTACATCGATAACTAGCATTTTATAAAGAAACATTTTCGATTATTTGTTTTCTATGAAGAAAACTAATCGATAATTAGTCTTCTGTAGAGAAAAACATATCGATACTTAGTTTTCTGTGGAGAAAACTTATCGATAATAAGAAAATTTATCGATGAATAGTTTTTTGTAGTGTCAACTTATCGATAATTAGTTTTTTGTAGCGTCAACTTATCGATAATTAGTTTTCTGTAGAGAAAAAATTAACGATAATTAGTTTTCTGCAGAGAAAAACTTATCGTTAATTAGTTTTCTGTAGAGAAAATGTATTGATAATTGGTTTTCTGTGGAGAAAACTTATCGATAATAAGTTTTTTAATTAAAATTGTATCGATAATTAGTTTTCTGTGGAAAAAACATATCGATAATTAGTTTTCTGTAGAGAACATTTATCGATAATTGGTTTTCTGTGGAGAAAACTTATCGATAATAAGTTTTTTTAGTTAAAAATTTATCGATAATTAGTTTTCTGTAGGGAAAACTTATCGATAATTAGTTTTCTGTAGAGAAAACTTATCGATAATTAGTTTTCTGTATATTAAACTTATCGATAACTAGTTTTCTATAGAAAAAACTTATCGATAAATAATTTTTTGTAAAAAACGTATCGATAATTAGTTATCTGCAAAGAAAACTTATCGATATTTAGGTTTCTGTAGAGAAAACCTATCGATAATTAGTTATCTGCAAAGAGAACTTATCGATAATTAATATTCTGTAGAGAAAACTTTCCAATAATTAGTTTTCTGTAGAGAAAACTTATCGATAATTAGTTATCTGCAAAGAGAACTTATCGATAATTAATTTTCTGTAGAGAAAACGTATCGATAATAAGTTTTTTGTAAAGAAAACGTATCGATAATTATTTATCTGTAGAGAAAACGTATCGATAACTATGTTTTTGTGGAGAAAACTTATCGTTAAATAGTTTGATGTAGAGGAAACCTATCGATAATTGGTTTTTTGTTGAGAAAACTTATCGATAATTGATTTCCTGTAGAGAAAATTTTTTGATAATTACTATTTTGTAGAGAAAACGTATCGACAATTAGTTTTCTGCAGAAAAAACTAATCGATAATTAGTTGTCTGAACATAAAACCTATCGATAATTAGTTTTTTGAGCATAAAATTTATCGATAATTAGTTTGCTATGGAGAAAATTTGTCTATAATAATTTTTTGTATAGAAAATGTATCGATACTAAGTTTTCTGTAAAGAAAACTTATCGATAATTAGATTTTTGTAAAGAAAATTAATCGATATCACATTGTCTGTACAGAAAACCTTTCGACAACACGTCTACTATAAAGAAAATTTCTCGATAACACATTCTGCATAAAGAAAACCAGTCGATAATTAGTTTCCATTAAAGAACATTAATCGATAACAAGTTGTACATATTGCAAATGTATCGATAACAGATTTTTCATATTGAAATTGCATGGATAACAGCATTTATATACCACAATATTATCGAAAACCAATATTCTCTAGAAAAAAACTAATCGATAACTGAATTTCTTGAAGAAAATTTGATCGATAACTGAATTACTTGAACAAAATTGGATCGATAACAAAATTTCTATAAAGAAAAATTACCGATAACAACATTGCTATTAAAAAATCTAAACGATAACAAAAGTTCTCTAAAGAAATCTTGTCGATAACAAGGTAAAAAAAAACATCCACATATATTTTGTTTGCTTTCCAATACTCCCATTGTATTTAAAAAATTTCAAACACAATCTTGTTTCATAAATCAAATCAAGTTTTGAAAAAAGTGAAATAAAAATATTATTTATTTCAAATAACGATGATGACGCTGCTACTGCTTTGGCTGACATTCTTTAATCGATAATTTGTTTTTTTTTTATTTATTTTGTGAAACATTTGTATTGAAATAATTGCCGCCAAACCACTTCAAAACAAATCCAAAATAGCTTTGAACAACTGTGTCTACGCTGAGTCTTCTTCTTCTTCTTCATCTTCTACTTCAAAACAATTGACAGAGTTGCTATTTGAACTACAAAGCGGAGCAAGCTTTTGACACTTCAAAGAACCAGTGGTGAGTATTTATGTATGTATGAGTGTGTGTGTGTGTGTGTGAGAGTCTCTTCAACACTCCAATGAATTGCTTCCTCAAAATTGATGAAAAGAAATTGCAGACTCAATTCAAAACGCCAAATGACCTTGAATCAAATATTTGAATCAAAAACTCATTAAAATATCTGAGAGACAGACGGGCAGACAGACAGCCACTGCAATTAGTGGTCCGGTCTATAACAAATGAGTTTTAATGAGTTGGAGATGGTCATAGAAAATAACATTTTTGTCGATGTTTTTGCCGTTCAATTGCTGACAAATTCTCAAAAGCTAACAAGCCGCAAATAACAAACTACCCACAGCCTGTCAGGCAGCCAGCCTGGCCGCCAGTCATCGGAACAAAACCAGCAAACCAACTATTATTTTTCGACGACATAGTCAGGTGACATTTGTTCGGTAATTTTATCTTGAAATCTTAGACAGCAGACATCTCAATCTTCATGGGCTTCGCCTCCTTCCCTGCTTCTCCCTCCCCCCTCTTAGCCACTATCGAAGAATTTTCCTTTAACATTGTTGGCGTATTTCTATGCCACAAATTGCAGACAAAAAAAAACTCCTTGGAAAATAAATTTTGTCGCTGTGGAATTTGGCATTCCAAGACGATGTCGACGATGCCAAACCAAGTATCTAATATGCTTGTTATCGTAATGGTCGCCGGATGATGATGACGACAATGATGGTGGCGGTCCTGGTGCTGGAGGTTGGGGTGGCTATGTTAACACTTATCCACATGTCTTGGCAAAAATCTTAACTGTCTGATATCGGCACACACACTTACTCACAGATACAAAGATTTGTCTGCTGTGTGTGCGAAAAAAATATGTGGCACACTCCATTGTGCCGCAAGGAAACAGCATTGTACGAATGCGATTTCAAACCGATTCTTATCACATTTTCGTTTTTTGCCATTTTGCCAGACAAACAAAAATTTTCAAATTGTAAATTGGCAAGGTCTCAAGCAACCACCACAGCAAAAAACGTAAACGTAAAATGCAAAAGAAGAAAAATTGAAAACAGCAAATTAGTCAATATTTTTGTGAAGG